ATTGAGACGTGACGCCAAATTTCTTGAATGGAATATGCAAAGATTTGGGACTGTTCATTTTTCTATCAACGTTTGGATGGTTGATAAAGAGAATTAGATGACACTCTAAGGACATTTGTGTCTTTTCAAACACCACTTAACAACTGATTAATGGGCTGGTTAATGATAAGCATTGAGATTGGCACATTTTGAAAGTCTGGGTATTGATTACTGAATTGTCGTGTTTTAAAGTTTGGGGAGTAAAGTGGCATAAGGCTTAAAGTACATGGTACTAATTTGGAAATTTCCCTTCTTAATATACTGAGCATGCATGATTATTAGGGGTGAGCAAAAAAACCCAAAAAACTGAACCGACTGAAACCAAACCAAAAAATCGATTAGCCAAACCGGTTAACCATTTAAAAAAACTGGCGGTTAACCGAATCGATTGATATATATATATATATAGTAATATATTTTTATATAATATTATATTTTTTTAAATCTAATAAAAATGTTCGACAGTCTGAGAGTGTTTAGACTACCGAACTGAGAGTCTGGGACTTTTAGGTAGACTAGCGAACAACCTACCTGACAATCTGAGTCGTTTGACACCTGCCGTGTGGGGATCCCTCTCTCTCTCTCTCTTGCCTCTCGGACTCTCTCTCTCTCTCTCTCTCTCTCTTTCTTTGACTCCCACTCTCCCAGTTCTGGGTTCTGGCCTTCGACGCTCCGCCCTCCGATTGATCCACCGACGGCCTTCGACATTGGCGATCCCTCCTGCTTTGGCGACATCGGAGGCTCGACTACGGGTTAGAGGCTCTACTGCATCTCGGTGACATTGGAGAAGTGGTGATCCCAGTTCTCTTCGACTGTGTTTTTCCTTTTTTTTTTAATTTTAAGGGCATAAAAAAATTAAAAAACCGAACCACGGTTAATTGGTTGCATCGGTTTGGTTTCAGTTCGATTAAATGTAAAAACTGAACATATTAATTCGGTCTAGAAAATTACTCCACAGTTCGATTAATCGAATCGTGAATACCCCTAATGATTAATCGAACCACAAACATCCATACTGATTATTTCTTTTTAACTTATAAAAGAGAATGAGGGCCTGTTTGGAAGGGATGAACTGAATATTCAGTTAATCTCAAGATAATCTAATTTAAAAAAAAAAGCTGAAATGCAGGCCTTCTAGCTTTCTAAGGTGGGCCCCAAGGAATAGCCTATAAGGTGTTAACTTTGGCTGTTGGGGGCCAACATCATATGCTGTTGAGAGCGGTTTTAGGCTCGACACATTCACTAATTCACACCCATGTCTGGTTAAAAGGAAATAGGGAGCAATTATTATATTACCCACCCTATTGGTAACGTGTGGTTCGCAAAAATGATCTCAACAACAGAGACTATTGCCCCCAATAGCCAAAGTTTTTCCACCTATAAGTTATTCTAAATGAAAAATCCCGATGGCCCAAATTGGCTGTCAGACATTTAAAGGACTGTCTGTTTCAACTTCATTGAATGGTTTATCTAGAGTGCTCCAGAACAGTTGAACTGGTTTATCTGAATTTTCAGCTCAACTGTTCCAAACGGACCTTAAAAAGCGCTACAAGTTGGGCTGTTGAAAGATTTCGGCCATATTGGGCTAGGGCCTATTGAAAATTAAAAAAATTCACAATCCAACCCAAGTTGCACACCAAGGATATTTAAAGTTTCAAGCACCGTGGTGATATTCAATAATAAAAAATTCTTTTCTTTTATGGGGTGACAAGCAACTAATCAAAATATATATTTATTTTAGAATGACGGTTCAGCCTAGGGTCAGAATTTTTAGGCCCAAAGTATAAATAAGGTGTGAATTTATGGTAAAGTGGGGGTTTTTGATATTTTAAATGTTTATAGATCTGCATTGAAATTAAGAAATCTGCATCGGGCCTGCCCGTATTTTTCCATTTATTTTTTATTTTTTACAAATGATTGGGCAATAGACATTGATACTAATCAAACTGATGGATCAATTTTTTTTTGATGTATCAATTTTTTGTGTTAAGTACCTCGTCATTTGGTCTGAGCTGGGGGCAGATTGGGTGACGGGCTGACTGGGCCGAGCTAGGCAGGTTAGGCGACGAGTTGACTAGAGTGCCAAGCTGCCTATTAGGTGTTGAGCTGACCAAAGTGCCGAGCTGCCTATTAGTTGCCGAGCTAACCAGAGGGCCTAGCTGCCTGGTGGCGAGCCGGATTGATTGTTGAGTTTCGTAGTTCTTTAGAGACCTGCAAGGAATCAATGTCAGAGGGCCCAGGGTGGCTAATCCGGTGAGGTCGCTCTGATGCTTAAGTCAGTACTCTCATAGCAGACTCCGAGCTAAAAATCACAAAGTATGAGAGCTAGAATATGCTTACTTGCCCCCTCGTGTCATTGGGGTTGGTGCCTTTATATAGACATTGTTTGGCGGGGGCTTCACGCACCATATCCGAGATTTCCGAGAAGTCGCCTAAGTGGTCTGAGATTCCCTAAGGTAACCGCCATGCACATTGACCACCCTCCGGATCGTTCGGCACGTGGGCCAACTTCAAAAGATCGTGGGAGTGTTTGGGTATGCATGCCAAATTTGTTGACGAACACGTCTCGTAGGTCGCCAGGTTGGCGCCAGTGCTAGGCTGCCAGTTCGCGCCAGGGCCAGACCGCTAGTTCGCACTTGGGCCAGGCCGTTAGGTCGGTGCCTATGCCAGGTCGTGCCTGAACCATGTGTCAAAATATCATTGGAGGGCCAAATTCGCCCCATCACAAACTATGATAACAAATTCACAACCCTTGAAGGTTGCGAGGGTCGAGAAAAATTTTGAGAGGATTCTTGGCTGTTGACTGTTGAGCTCATCTTTTATTCATAAATAATCCAATTAAGTGGGATAGATCAAGTATTTACGGGCATATGAAACCAGGTTTAGGCGAAAACTTTGACTCAATAAACGTTGGCTAAATAAAGAGGAGAAACGGTTGTGGACCAAAAAATTCAATAAACCACATCCACACCCACACTTAAACTTGTTCGGGGGGAATTCATGGTATACGAGGACGACTGAACTAAACCAATAATTCCTGCTAATTGAATTTCACCTGGGAATTTATTGACTCTTACCACCCTTCAGTATCCTCTTCTCCATTAATGGGGTTTCACTCTCTTCTGAGCTTCATTTATTGACATTGCCACCCCATTTGAGAAATTGAAAAATCCTCTCCAGTCAAGAGGGCTTGGTCGTAAAAGTAAAAAACTCCAGAGTCTATATATGGTCTCATCCCTTATGTGAGAACAAACTTTGTAGGGGATGGTGTGACTGCATTTTCGTCAGCATCAGGGAAGAAAAGAAAAGGTTTGATTTTCTATCTCTCTCTCTCATTTTGTTTTTCCACATTTGACACCCTTTTTCCCTGCATTTTCCCTTGTTTATTTATCTATTTACCTATCACCAAATCAAAACGTACTCTGTTTCCTTGTGGTTTCCCATTCCAGATGGATTTTGACATGTGTGGAAGGAGAAATTAAATTCTGTGTTGATTTGCTCAAGGAGTCACGACTTCTGAGCTGTGAATTGTGACTTATGATAGGCTCACCGGCCATTTCCGTGGCATCCCATCAGTCATCTTGCAGGCGCATGTGACCCAACCTGTCTGAGAGAGGGAGGAGAGGTGCGAGCACATATGGCCAACCTGTGCAACAGCGCAGAATGCAATGGAAAGTGTTATTGTGTCTATGGGTGCTTACCATGCAAAGGAGAGAATTCTGAATTCCTATCTCACCCACACCAGCTTCAGCTTGACACTACAACATAAATAAGGTTAGCTTCGTATGTTCATTTCTTTGATTTGGAATTAGAGCTCCATCCAAGCTTTAACTGTTTTATAACTGGTCTGAATATAGATACTTACATTTACATATTGGTTGAACACAATAACAATAAAAAGAAATCTCATGTTGATTTGGATGCATTGGTTCAACTTTGATACAAGTGAAGTTATTAAGTCATTTTATTCATGATATACATGAATTTTGAAGTTCTTAATTAGCAGTTCATTCTATTGATAATATACTGTTGAAAAACATGATACCGAAAAGACTTTAATCAATCAAAACCCTCTCGTGAATTTTGATAAATATCATCTGCTTAGATACCAATTTTATAATATCCCTTGATTGGTTTCAAAATTTTCAGGTATCATGTCTTTCTAGCATCATAGTCCAACCCTTTTTGTCTACTATTTTTTGTTATATTCTAAGCATTATCCAATAAAGTTTTACCATTAGGCTTAAACTTAAAAGAATAAAATCCAATTAAAATTTGATTGATTTAAATCCTGGTTGGTTTGGTTCAGTTCTCATTGCCAAAAGGAGCTGACAAGTGACAACCAAAACTAGTTTAGCCAACGTGTCATCAAATCCGGATCATCTTCGTCCTATTACCTGATTCCTGGTTCACTAGGACGTATAACAACGAAAACCGGATCAACTTCGTCCGGGGCTTGGTGGGCAGACCGGGTCATTTCTAGAAGCGAAGTGAGAGTCTCCCTTGTCAAACGTCGCAGAGCCGTTAGTCGGGTGCAGTGGTTTTCTTTGGTCGTCCGTTACAATCGGACAATTATTTCACCCGTCCGGGCAATTATATCACCCGGCCCGCCTACCCGCCCGCTTTATTAAAGAACTGGTGCAGTGCGACTTTAGTCAATGCAATGGTCCATATCAATTGATTTAAGTGACCCCACTTTACAGTACAGATGGAAGACAATTGACACAGCAACAAAAACAATTCAGAAAACTGGGGAAGAGTAATATTCATGTCTAACGAGGAGAATCCGAGGACGGACATGGACCGACGGAATTCGGAAATGGACCGGGCACAGGGGTGAAATGGGAAAGTGAAAAAAATAAAACGTCAACTTGAGACATTCAATTTTTTTAAAACGTTGCGTGCGGGAACCGGCACCCGAACGAACCGTTTACCGAGGGGGGAGTCCATTATCTCACAAAGAAAGAAAAAAGTGAAAAAGCGCACGAGGAATCGTCGGTAACTCGGTATTAAAGACGACGCAGAGACGATCATGAAAAACAAAGAAGAGAAGTAAAGACAAGATCAGTTGCAGACGGAGACAGGGTCAGGGTCTCTAATTTATTCTGACTTTTGCTCATTTTCCGAATTCCGGATGAAACGCGCAAATTCCGGAACTCGATGCACGAGTTTCTTCTTCTCCTCTTCGGTTTTCACTCTTTATAGTCTTTAGTCTTCACTCCGGTCCAGTTCTCACCTCTTATATTATTGTTGTCGTCGTCTCTCTTTTCGGGCGAAATCCAGTTGTGTTTTATTAAATGCATTGCAGCAAAGGTAAGCTGGTTTATGAGATCGCAATTGGGTACTTTTCATATTTTTTGTTTTTGATCTGTTCGTTCTCCATTTCTTAGGTGGGTCGATATTACTGATTATATTTTGGTTTGTTGATGGTTTATGAGCATATTATATGGGAACGAACTTTCCCTTTTCTTTCTTTTCTAATTTTCCGGGAATTTATGTTGAATTTTGATCTGGGTCCATCTCCAATTTTCAATTATGGTTTGGTGAAGTGTTAAAACAAGAAAAATGACAGATGGGCCAAAATAGAGGAAGATGGCAAAACCAAAGAAAGTTAAGAATGCCACATTTGTCTGGAACTTGTTACCTTATTTGATTTGGTTTTCGGATTAATTACTTATTTTTTATTATTTTCTATCTTAATTAGTTATTATGATGCACGAATTGTGATTGTCATGTTCGTCTTGTTTGTTGCGTTCTGCTGCACCTTGTAACCATTGCTTGGTCGTTCTCTTGGTGAAAACCTCTCCTTTGAACCTAAAGTGTCTAAGTTTCAGGTGATGGTATACAACAATACCGTCACCATTGCGACAATTCGAAATGTTCGAACRTGAAACTCTGTGTCAACTGTGGACGTTGGATCTACTTTCCTAATTTCATGAAACGACTTGAAGTTAAATTCTCCTAGGGGTTGGTGCTGAGAATCTTCTTTTTTTCCTTTGTTGTTTGGGGAGGTACCTATATCAAAGGTGTGTTTAGAAAATCTTTCCTTGGCCCAAAAGAAAAAGGACCAAGAAAAGTCATACTTATTCACGTAGAAGATCAGTCATCGTGTACTTGATCAGCTAGAGAAGGATTGAGGAACAAAAAACCTGCTCACCGTGGAAGTTGGAAGATTCAAACTTATTCGAGCAAGAACTTCCAATTTCTGATTAAGAAGTTTACGGTTTGGATTATTCTTTCCATATGTTCGTTTCAGTAGATTTTGTTCTCTACCAATGTTCTGCAGCTAGTTGCTGGAAGTATTCATCTGTTGTTTTGCTTATTTTTGAGTCATTATAGCTATGCTCAGAGCAACTCATGTTGGTTATCACAAAGAAAACTACCTTTCTTTCTTAGGAATGGTGGGGTTGTGGTGCCAAGAGAGTTCAATTTTCCTCTTTTTGTATGATATCTGGTAAGGCCTCAAGCAACTTGTCAGTGTAGGAAAGCCATATTCGTGTATGATTTCCTTGGCAAGTATCTCCCTCTTGTTCCATGTACTCTTTCCCTTTGTTGTTGTTTTAATTTACTTTGTTTGCTAGACACGGATCTTTGTTTCCTCTCACAATCTTGTCATTCCACACTCACCTTTGGTACCCCAAAAATGCTTACATTCAAACCTGAATGAGTGAACGGGGCAAGGAGTTCATACACCTGTTTTTAGATTGTTGTAATTATGGCTGCTTGTTTACTTAAAATTCTTTTATTTTTTTTACCTTGGTAAATTCAACCATACACGTAGTAAAGAAAAGAAGCTGAAGTGTGGCAGAAATGCATATGTTGAAATGGTGGGTGGAAAAACTAGAAAGAATAGGATTAGAAATGAAGTCATTCATAGGAACTTATGAATGGCTCCAATAGGTGATAAAATGAGAGAAATTAGACTAAGATGATTTGGTCATGTGCATAGAATACCATTAACAACAGCACATGTAGGAAGAAGTAATTCGTTACGAGTTGAAGGGGCTAGAAGGGCAAGGGGTAGGCCAAAAAGGACATGGTTAGAAGTAGTAAGAAATGATTTAAGTGCCAATAATTTAACAATGGATATGACATTAAACAGAATGGACTGACGAAACAGGATTCATGTAGCTGACCCCATATAGTTGGGATGATGCTTTAATGATGGTGATGTATGGAAACTTGATTGGTATATTGTCAAAAAAAATGGCCAAAAGGTTAGGACTTATCCAGCCCACACCTCCAAGGCCCCAGATTGCTGGGACCAACAATGGGTAACGGCCTTTATATAGGGAAACTTGATTATTAGTTGAAAGAGATTTCTTCCATCTGAAATTGGTGGGACTGGGAAATTAATGTGGTGGTTGGTAATGTTCCAAAAGAACATTCATGGTATTGGGGGAACCAAAAACAACACTTTTTCTGCACCCTGGACCTGGAGCAATAGGAATATTTGCTAGAGCATTACCAAATTCTGCCTAGATTGAATAAAAAAACAAGCAGAGAAAGTCCTATTCTAAATTTTACCAATCATCCTCAACTGCATGACCTTATGGTCACAATTAATAAGTGCTATAAATAATGGGTATTGCAGCCCAGTTTTAAGCCAACCCCATATAGTTGGGACGAGGTTTGGATGATGATCTTTTGCATCCAGTTAAGGTTGAGCTTGGCCTTCTAAATTAATTGTTTATTTGCTATAAGCATAAAGGCATCTCCTTAATAATGGCATGGTTTCAAATTTATGGAAACAATGCCCTTTTCATGTGAATTGGAAAAAATTTGTGAATTATGCTACACTTGGTTCTTTTAATCATTCACATTACAATGAAGTGATTATTTTCTCATTTATATGTTCATTCAATTAGGTTAACATTTGAATGTGTGCTAGTTATGATGCTGAGCAAGTTTTGATTTTCACTAGACCTTATAGGGTTTATTTCTGCTCTTGTAAAAATCATATTTATAAGTAAACCTTTCTTTTCAAACAAATTTTGATCAAAGAATATCAAACCCAAAACTTCATTCTGCAGTATCATGTCTTTATATCCAAAACACTTAATTTAGTACATTTTACAGATTAAAGGTACACTTTAAAAGTTAAAGTGAAACAATACTTTGTAATTTCTGCAAGCATGGCTCCTGGTGGCTGCATCTTCAAGGAAGTCCTTGAGTCTCAGTCTGCAGTTGTGGATTATGATATATCAGCTACAAAATCAATATTAAAGCATCCTCAATCTACCAAAGATGCTATTGTGTACAATGGAAAGTGTGGAGTGTCATCAACCAATGGTGTACATGAGCTTCTTGAATGCCCTGTTTGCACAGGCTCAATGTATCCCCCCATTCACCAGGTTTGTTCTGTTTACTGGACTTGTTATTTCCATCTCACAGTTTTTGCATCTGATTATACTTACGAATAGGTTCTATTAATCTGAACATTTTTCAAGACATTTTTCTTTAACTATTTTCCAAAACTTAGCATGTGAACACTGGTTTCATGGGAATAACTTTCCTTCCTAAGATGTGAGTCTGTTCAAACTAATATGAAAATGTGCACATGGACTGGATAACTTATCACTTATATTGGGAAATGTGGTAGACTAATGATGTCCACCATACTGTGGCCACAGAGCTTATTCTACACTATAATTATGGTTCGTGAGTTTCACAGATGTTCTTGTTCTTTCTATTCTTTCCTTGTTCATGAAAATGCATTTGTTCCATTGTTTTCCAATCCATTATTTTCTGTTTGATTAGTGATTTACCTTGCATGTATCACAAATCCAAAACTGATCTACTTTTTGTATTTTATTTTTTGCATGTAGTGTCCAAATGGTCACACTCTATGTTCAAGCTGCAAGGTTAGAGTACAGAACCGTTGCCCAACTTGTCGCTTTGAGCTTGGTAACATAAGGTGTTTGGCCTTGGAGAAGGTGGCGGAATCATTAGAACTACCATGTAGATACCAGAACTTGGGTTGCCATGATATATTCCCATACTATAGCAAACTCAAGCATGAACAACTATGCCAATTTCGTCCATATAATTGTCCTTATGCTGGGTCTGAGTGCTCCATCACTGGAGATATCCCTACCCTTGTTGCACATCTCAAGAATGACCACAAGGTTGACATGCATGACGGGTGCACCTTCAACCATCGATATGTCAAATCCAATCCACAAGAGGTTGAAAATGCTACGTGGATGCTGACAGTAAGTTCTTTATGATGCATATATGCATTCATATATAAATTATGTGTCTATTCTTTCAATTATGGATTGGCTGTTAATGACAGATATGTATCAACCCAAGATCACATGGATAGGTTAACTCTAGCAATGCATTTATATTCCTAAATTTGTATGGTGCTTCTGGGAAACAATTAACAAAATGATGAATTTATTGGATAATGATGGTCGGTCTCTGTTGGGTATGAAGAGGTATCTCTTGATTAAATGGTTTGAGTAGATGTTCCTTTCCTATTCACCACTATTATCTGGATGTGCCTCCTTGCCATATCATGTATGATTATCAATACCTTATTGGTTCATTTTGTGTGTGCATTATACTGCCCCTACCACCCAAGAAAAGAAGGTATTTTTTTGATTCTTCAAAAGCTCTACTATTTATCACTTTGGATTCTTCAAAAGTAGAGAGTTACCATAAACCGCTCTTCCAAGTTTAGTGAAGATTTCTGCCCAAATATACTTAATTTATAAGGTATATGGCCCATCTAATTTATATGGTATATGTAATTGCTTGAATTGTGATGCCTGGTGCAGGTTTTCAACTGCTTTGGTAGACAATTCTGTTTGCACTTCGAGGCATTCCACTTGGGAATGGCACCTGTATACATGGCCTTCCTGCGGTTCATGGGTGATGAGAATGATGCAAAGAAATTTAGTTACTGTCTGGAAGTTGGTGGCTATGGGCGTAAGCTAACATGGCAAGGAGTTCCAAGAAGCATACGAGATAGCCACAAAAAGGTTCGGGACAGTGAGGATGGGCTGATCATCCAGAGGAACTTGGCCCTCTTCTTTTCTGGTGGCAATAGGCAAGAGTTGAAATTGAGAGTGACAGGCCGAATATGGAAAGAACAGTAACAGATGCTAGAATCCATTTAAAATCTTATGTAGAAAAAGAAATTTATACTGGTTCAACTGGATGGGGGTAGTCCATTTGAGGAATTTAGAGATGCCAGTCGTTTCTGTATATGGGGTAGATCAATGCTTACAAACTTGATATTTTCTTTTTATTCCTGAAAAAAATTGCAGGGCTTCCTTTATCTTAGCCCCTTTTTTTTCCCCTGATATTTAGTACAATTAAACAAGGATACGATATAAAAAAGAATTGCCTTAACAGTGTGTGTCAGTGTTTCAGCATTTGGTCTACAGTTCCCAGAAATGAGGGGACGCCACTGCACTTTCCTTTTCAAACAATTAAGAGCGGAATGGAGGGCTATGTCTGCCAGCCCCACTTATGCTGTGTTTGGAGTGCAAATACAAATATGTACAGTGCAAATGCAAACAAAATAAGACAAAATACAAGCTTTTACACTCTACATATTTGTAATTGTACAACATTGGTTGTTTTGACTAAAAATCCAAAAGAATATGCTAAATGTATAAAGTTCCACACTTCCATTCACTGTCCTCTCTCACCGTTGACACTCTTTATTTTTCATTTTCTTTGTTGCAAAGATTGTTTGCAGTCATTAGACTCATTACTTGGCATATTGGACAGATAGCACTCACCATGATAATACACATAATTAGCAGATAAAGTAATGAAAGGGCCATTTGATAACAGCCGAAGTGGCTGGAATGAATTGCTTGACAAAATCACATATTGACTATCGAGTGTTATTATTGGCTGACAGTGGTGGGCAAGGTTCAAATTTTTATTATTTTTATTTTTTTTTTCGAATCTGGATCAGAGGGGTCAGCTTAACGCCTGGTTATCCTCTCAATCATGGTCTGATAAAAAATACTCCTTGTAGGGGCATATTAGGAACGTCATGATACGAGACATATTGGCCAATCCGGTTCGATACGTAATGATATTTTGAACTTTGGTGGTGGAGCATTAGAAGTGATCATTTCCAGCCCAGCCAGGAAATTTTCAGGCTTGGTCTGAACCTAACACTATCATATTGGGAAGTCATGATATTAGAAAATTTACAGCCAATCAACTGGTATCATTAAAGAGATGACCAAGCAGGTGGTATTCATCAAAATTCACAAAATGCTTTGATTGGTCAAAGGTCTTTGGGTAATGTCTTTCAAATATCATACATTTTCCCTATACCTATATCTTATAAAACTTAATTAGTGACATAAGCCCAAAGTCCAGCCCAGGGCCTAGGGGTGTCAGTTGGACTGGATTTGGTCCAACCCGATTCAGTCCAATGTGAGTCCGTTATAAATAGATCAGGTCTAATCCAGTCCAATGAATGTTTTGGACCAATTTGGACCGGTCCAATTCAATGTCTGGACTGCCCAGTCTGTTCAAATTTATTTTGATTTAGATTGGTTTCAACCCAAACCCGGTCCATTGACACATATATTCTTATCTTATATCAACAGACTAGATATTAGCTTAATCCAGCCCAATCCAATATAAATTTATTACGGACGGACCAGGTCCAATCCAATCTAAGAAATATTTTGGACCGGATTAGTCCAATCCAATATGTCTTATTGGTCCGTCCAATCCGTCCAAAATGATTTTGGACTGGATGGGGTCCAATCCAAAACTGGTCCATTGACACCCTTACCAGGGCCTATGGTTGTAACCCTTAGCATAGCCCCACATTATTACAAGCTCGGATCTCCTACCAACAAGGATCCTACCCACAGGACACAGCTATACATTGGGAACAACTATAGTGTCCTATGGGTAGGAGATTCGGATTCCATTATTACACAGTTTTAAGTTCAAGTTCAATTAATCTAGGTTCATTGCAATAAGTTGTGCATGCAATGCTATGTGGAGGCTAAAGAGTGTCATCAGACTAACAAGTGTTCTATGTTGTTCATTTTTATTCTTCAAAAAAAATTTGTTGGTATTCATAAACTGTCAACCTATGTTTCCAACGGGGGTTAATGTTTACAAGTTGGCATAGATGTTTTGTAAAAGTGCTTTTATTTAAGTACTTTTCATAAAAGTACTTCCATAAAGTGCTTTTATTTAAGTACTTTTCATAAAAGTACTTCCATAAAGTGCTTTTATAAAAGTACTTTCGTAAAAAGTAAAGCGCTTTTATAAAAGTACTTCTTTAAAAGTGTTTTTATTAAAGATCTTTCATAAAAGTACTTTTAGTACTTATAAAAGTGCTTTAATGTAAAAGTACTTTTATAAAAATACTTTTGTAAAAGTGCTTAGTACTTTCACAAAAGTAATTTTGTAAAAGTGCTTTTGCAAAAATAAACATCTATGGCAACAGTTTTATAGGCAGAGTTTCCTAAAAGAATGAAAATGAGCAAGATGAGGCATGATTAATTCTTACTCATTTTAGTAAGAATTAAAAGAATGAGGCCTAGAGCAATGAACGAAACATGGCCTAAGTTGTTAGCCAATCTGTTAATTTCTTTGTCATACTCGTTAGTTCCTTCCATAGAGTCCTGTTATGAAGTTGATGTTGCACGTATGCAGTCCGCATCTCCTATGTACACTAAAAGCCTTGTATTAATGGAGTCTGGATCTGCTCTCACAAAGCACTCCTCACAGCATGTCCTGGCCGCAAATAAGGAACATCTCCCACATTTGTATTTATTATTCATGGGAAGATGTTTCCAATACAAGATGAGATGTGGCTGTGAGGTCAGTGAGATCCCAATTAGTATTAATGCGTACACTGAAATTTTGATTGTTCAAACTCTTAAATGTGAGATCTTCTGGTATCATACTCTCACCACCCTCATGTTTGAGAGTTCGATCAATCAAAACCATCTTAATGAATTTTGATTGGATAATGCACACTTTAGTATAAGACATTTACAGTCCGTTTGGTTCCTACGATTTGGATGGGAAAATGAGAATATTTCCATTAAATTTCCATATTCACTTGTTCATTTGCCGGGATGGAATGGAAAACCAAGGATGTGGGATCACACTGAAATGGTATGACCCCGGTGAACAAGCTCATCTGTCACTCAAAGGAACCCCACAAAAAAAAAGCAATTCAGCAAATAGCAACACTATATACTGTACATGAACTAGATCATTGGTTGTGCTAATCAATGTTTGGTCATGCCCACATGGGTTGGGAACAAGCACATGAAAGGAAGGGAAAGAATGCTTCAAAGACTTCACAAGCACAAGAAAGATTTTGTGGGTAGATGCAAATGAACTTGCATTTAGTAAACAGAGATTGAATCAAGGAAAAACTAGCTCCCACAATTTGAGGTAGGGACATTGCAGAGAAAAATTCAAAATTTATAATGGTAAATGGCCTTAAACCAGGCCAAAGGAAGACCAGAGGAAGATTTGCAAAGGTCAATTCCTTCGATGGTGGATGACCTTGAACCAGGCCAAAGAAGACCAATTTTCTATGCTTTCAAGAGGTATTTCTTCAAAGAAGCCAGGTTGGTCAGTTCACTCGTTATGTATCTCAGCATTCAGCTTACCATTATAGTGAACAGAGTCAACACTGCACCAGGTTTGGATAAACAAGAAAAAATAAACTTGAAGTTAAAACCAATCAAATGAAACAGTAAGACAAGTTTTATAAATCCAACGGTACAAATCTAGCTTCGGTGAGATTTTCACAACATTAGTTCACAATGGCATCTTCATTTAAATGAAAAAAAAAAATTATCATAAACTTATCGTTGGTGGAAGTTGAAGTAGATTATGCAACATCTACATGGAATCACAGGAATGACTGGTTAGTAGAAGAAATATAGTCCAAAATTTTGGCAAAAATATAGTTCAGACTCAAGGTTAAAAAAATGGTTTGGTCTGTTAAAAAAAAAAGGTTCGATCTGTTCACGAGAAGCAACCAACAGAATAGGAAAAAAAAAAATAATGGTGAGAGGAAAAAGACGACTACAATAGTTCGATCTGTTCATGACCATAATTGCAAGACATACTTTACGGGAGCTTTGTGCGAAGCTGGCCTTTGAGAGTGAGAGGAAGAAGAAGACCCTGCAAATGGGATTCTACTCTAGAGAATTGCGAGAATCATCACGAGTGATGCCAAGCTAGGAATGGCAACGGGTGGGGCGGGGGCAGGGAGCCTCTCCCCATCCCCGTACCCGCTAACAAGGATGATTTTCTCCATTCTCTGTGATTTTTTATATTATCAATCATTTTGTTTTTGTTTTTGTTTTTTATTTTATTTAAAAAATAAAATAAAATAAAATAATTAAAATTTACAATTTTATTGGAAAAGATTCAAACATATTTTTAAAAGAATATTAATATATAGACATATGTGTACATATATACATATATAAACATATGCATACATACATATATATTAGCGGGAATCCCATGGGGCGGGGAGTGTTCTCCCCATCTCCACCCAGCCCCCGCCAACGGGGATGAAAATTTCCCCACCCCAATCCATGTGGGGGGAAAATCATCTCCATCTCCACCCCATTCGAGGCGGATCCCCACGGCGATTGAGAAAATGGGGAAAATTGTCATCCCTATGCCAAACGTGGCCTTATTTTTCTCGAGTAATACCCCAAGTGGATAAGTAACTTTCCCACCTTGGGGGGGGGATTGCCTCCACTTAGACAGGACAAAATTGCCCCCCTTAAGAATGATTTTTATGGTTAAAATGGTCATTGTCTAATTTACTTGGAAAATAGAAGAACATAGATAAATAACTTCCCAAAAAAACGAACAAGGCCTTAGTCATAAGTTTTTGAGAATTGTGCTTGATTGTTAGACTACTTGGCTATACTTCCAAAGGTGTTTAGAAATGGTCTTGAAAATGAAAAAATGTCAAAATTGGTGTTTTTTGATAAATAGTTCACATGATTTTTGAGAGAGCCGTTTATCTGATAAATGGTTCAACCAAATAACTTTTTAGGTGTTTTTTTTTGTCAAACACATCTACAATGATGAGATGGCATTGCGAAAAGCTACATCGATACCAAACACCATCTAAATCAATTTTGAAAAATAAAAACAAAAGAAAAGAAAAGAAAAGAAATTATTCGGTATTGAAACGAATATTTTTGAATTGTCATTGGCTTGGACAGTCAGACCATTTGGCTCGGGAACAGTCTAGGCAACCGGTTCCATTTCACCACTAACCCATTATTTGGCAAAAATCTGTTGACTTAGTTAGCGATATGTTGACATGAGTGGTCAAACCATTTACCCGTTTAACCTAAATCACAGTTTTAGTCATTTTTTAATTTTAATTATTTTTAAATTATTTTAGTTTTTAATTTGAAATGAGCCATCCATTCAAGCCGAACAATTGAATCACTAACTCATAAATTAATGGCTAAAGTGGTTTTAGTTTCGGGTCGGATTTTAAAACATTGATTGAAACACCCTACAAGTATGTCGACTGGTACGATTGTTTGTATTGATACTTCAAAATATCCAGATGTAATCTAGATCTAGATTAGACATGGGTTTGGTGTGTGCGACCTATTTGGATCCTGATGCTTATAAAATATAATATTTTATTTTTATATTATATTTATTATATAATTTTAGACAAAAAACTTGTGTAAAAAAATTTAGACATACAAAAAAATAAAAAAGTAAAAAGAGTTAGTTCTAATGAGGGGTGATTTGGCCATCTAGTGACATCATGCCACGTGGCATTCTAGAATTGTCGCACGACACTCTGGCACCATGTAGGTGATGACTTGCCTTAGCCAAAATAATGGAGACCTCCTCGAAACCACATCAGAAGCACCTTGCACACCTTGCGAGCACTTTGCCACCACCTAGGGCTGTAAGTCGGGCTGGGTTAGGTTATGTTGAGGCCAACCCTAAGTTCTAAACCCCCAAACCTAACCCTAACCCAGACTGACTTTCAACGCGACTTACCCAACCCTAACCCTAACCCAATCCAAAGTCAACTTCGGGTTGGGTCCAACCCAACCTTCCTCCCATCCCTTAAAATCTCATAGAATTTATCGATTGTAGATCTTAACTCAACTTTCACAACATATATTAATCCTATGCTTCATTAGTATTTGTTTGTTGAATTTTTTTTTGTTCTTTTGGTACGAAATTCAAAAAAAACAAGTGTTAGAAATGACTATAGTTTATTATGAGTTATGAGTTATGATGAATCTTTTATGGGTGGTAAACAACAAAAGGAGATGAAGAATACAATTTTCAAAAAATATAAAATAATATTATTAAGGTTTTAGTCTTTTTTATTAGGATTAAATGAAGTGATTGTCTTAAAAGAAATACATGATACTATGTGGTGGGGGTTATACAAATATCATGCATCTAAACAAATCAGTGTATGCTATATATTACATATAACATATATTTATATATGCCATGTACTATAGAGTTGGGTTGCCCTAAGGGATCAACCCTAACCTAACCTGGAGTAAAGTCGGGTTCATGAATTCCAACCCTAACCCTAACCCGAGCATCAACCTGACCCTACCCAACCCAGCTCAAGTTGCAGCCTTGCCACCACCTCCCCATTGATTGAGGTCTAAGTAGTGACTTGCATGGCGTGGCGGTAGACCTACATCTTAGCTAGGGCCGACCTATCTACGCCTCGTGCCCTTTAGGAGAAAGCACTTAGGTCTAGGTAGCGACCTGCATGACGTGGTGGTCGGCCTACATCTTGGCTAGGGTTGACCTATTTGCACCTTACGCACTTCAGGAGAGTGCACTGAGGTCCAAGTAGCGACCTACATAACGTGGTGGCCGACCTGTCAGCACCTCAACACCATGTAGGGAGCAACTTCAGAAGTGCCTCAGACACTTTGCACCTACCCTAACGGCCTCGCCCCGACCTCGACAGGCTGACCTACAAACGCCCCAGAAAGGGTCAGGTCGGTGTAAGAGGCAACCTACTTTTGTCAACCTGGCTGTGACCCAGTTGGTGACCTGCATGGCGTGGCAGATGACCTCCTTCACGAGTGGGTTATCATCTCCAACTCCTTTGGATAATGTTGTCTCGTTGAATGGAACTAACTACTATCCTACCCGCTCCGGAGGTAACCAGATAAGCGTTATCGCCTTACGCGGAGTCCGCTTCTAAGCATGAAACCACCTTCGAACTAGACGGGCTGGTGATCTCAGACACACTATGTGAAGCCCACAGCAAGCTACGCCTATATAAAGGCATCTCATTCCTCAAAAAAGGTATGCACGATTTAGCTCTCAAGTACACTAGCTTGCTCGCTTTCCAACTTACAAACTCTCTTTGCTAATTTAAGCATCGAAGTGCCCACCCCGGATAAAGCAACCCATGTACTTTGGTTGTTTCTTTGCAGCTCGACCATGCAACATCACCAACCCAACATCCAAATTGTCCGCCAACAAGGAGCACTGGATTGCACAATATTAAGTTCTTTTACTGGAACGAGAATCAACAAGATTTTGACATTTTGGCTAAGGGTTTGGACTAACCCGACCTAGGTTTCAATTCTAAACAACAATCAACCCTCGCATCCCTGTCCAGCCTGGCTATTAGGGCTGCAAGTCGAGCCGAGTTAGGTTGGGTTGAGGCCAATCCTAAGTTCTAAACCCCAACCCTAACCCTAACCTAACCCAACCCAGCTCGAAGTCAACTTTCTTCCCAACCCAACCTTCGTCCCATCCCTTAAAATCTTGTAGAACTTCTTAATCACAAATCTTAACTCAACTTTCACTACATATATTAATCCTATGTTTTATTAGTATTTGTTTGTTGATGTTTTTATTGGTACTTTAAGTACAAAATTCAAAAAAAAAAGTGTTTGAAATGATTATAGTTTATTATGAGTTATAACTTATAATTGATCTTTTATGGGGAGTAAGCTATGGATGGAAAACAACAAAGAGGAGATAAAGAATAAAATATTCAAAAAACATAAAAAATGTTATTAAGGTTTTGGTATTTTCAATTAGGATTAAGTGAAGTGATTATCTTAAAAGAAATAAATGATAGTATGTAGTAGGGGCTATTCAACTATCATGCATATAAACAAATCAATGTATGGTATCATATATATAACATATATTTATATATGATATGTACTATAGAGTCGGGTTCAGGTTGGGTCGGGTTACCCGAGGGGTCAATCCTAACCCAACCCGAAGTAAAGTCGGGTTCATAATTTTCAACCCTAACCCTAACCCGAGCATCAACCCGGCCCGACCCAACTCGACCTTTTCGAGTTGGGTTCGGGCCAACCTGACCCAAGTTGCAGCCTTACCGACTATCACTCATCATTGGGTGTTCGTAGCAAACAAACCTGGATCTAGTCCCACACCAATTTCACATGCCAGAGTAGATTGCAACCGCACATCAAGATTATCTCTCATACTTACTTGAATGTTGTTATTTACTGCAATATGTTCCGAATGCACAGCTGCAATATGTTGTGGCATGTGAGATCATGGTTTTCAAAACTGGATCGGACCGGACGATCATATTGAAAAAATCGAGAACTGGTTAGGTGACCAATTTCGGTTTTCCCTAAAACCAGATTTTCTTCAAAAATCATTGATTTTGATCAACAAACTGCTAACCAGAGTGGTTAATCGTTTTTTAATTTTTTTTATCAGAACAGGTTTAAACAGTTAGACCGCTCGACCTGGTAACCAAACCCCTGACCGGTTTGGTCTCCAAGTTGATTTTAAAAACCATCTGTAGGATTGGAGAGGAGAGTGTGGGGAGCGCTCCGTGGAAAGCAGATCCGGATTCCAACGTAATTTCGTAAATACTGGAAATAAATAACATAGGCCGACTTGGCATGTGGCATGGACTTCTCACATAACGTGCCCAACATCACATCGCAACCGTGTATTTGAAACATCTCCTCATACGCAATACGAGAAAAGAAAAAACGGAATTCGGCTTCTGTCAGGACAAATTGGTGCTCGCACCGTTCGAGCACCCACTTGAAACCTTGCATTTGAAATCTCTCTCATGAAATAATTCACGTAATCAAGCACGGAGATATTTTCAACTTCCAGGGCAAAGACATTAGAGCAGTTGAATATCTTTCTACTTATATCCTTTATTTCATGAAAAGATATTTCCAATGCAAAGTTGCAAAGGGGGGTTGGAACAGTGTGGGCACGGGATTGCCATGAGGGAAGCCGATCTCCGAAAAAACGAATGCGACGTGGAGGCAGGTAGGAGTAGGACAGGATCAGGAAGATGTTCCCAATCCATCAGGAATGTTAATTAGCGGTTAAGAACTCAAAACGAGTTTCCCGCGAACCCCTTAAGGAGGGAGGTGGAGACACAACGTCGACCTCTTTTTCTTCTTAAACATGAAAAAGGCCTGCATTAATCTCTCTCTTACCGATTTCTTCTCTGCTTCTCCCTTCTCGTGCTGTTTCGATCCCAATCTATCTGGTTTGTACCCTCCTTCCATCATCTCATCATCTTAATCTTCTCCTTCTTGAAAGATTGCCCGTTTATCGGTCTCTATCGTGAATTATACATATCTATTTCTACATTTCGTTTTGATAAGAAATTAATGCATCCCTGTTTATTGATGAATTATACCCATTTTCATTTTCCAAATGATCTGATCGATATTTGAGCAAATGATTAATAGTGTTTGAGTTTGTTTTTCCCTGCAAGGGCTGCAGGAAGGGGAATAGGGAGGTTGCCCTTTTCGTTTTGAGATTTTCTTTGACAGTTTGACTTACAAAATGATTTTGCTCAGGCTGAATTCTTTCAGATTGAGAGAATTCATTCAGATAAAATAATTTGGGAGCATTCGCTTGAGATGGGTTATTGAAAACATTTCCTGGGTTCGGTTGTTGGCGATCTGCAACATGCTGTGCTGTGGAGGTGCGGAGGAGGAGAACTACGGTCCGCCTGTTAATCAATATACTGCCCCACCTAAAGGAGGGGACTCACAGGGTAAACATGCCTGACCCTAGTATTTATGTATTCTCCGTGTCATCTTCTTTGCAGTAACTCGTTACAAGGAGAATGAATGCATGTGATGGGTTGGTTATAATATGTATGTACTATGGACGATTGGTCCTCACCTGTTGTTGCTTGAATCAGCGAATTCAACAGCCCCTCTGAATCTGCTTTCTTTTAGTTAATTTCTCCAATTCAGGACAAATGCTAGATATTTCTTGATGAGCCTTGACCTGTTTGTATATCTTATTTTTCCCAATGAAATTCCATTTTTTCCTCGCTTTGTTAGCATTTTTGCAGTTCTAGTTTCCATAAATTGATGAATTGAACCCATAACAACAATGGTGTCGGGAGCAGATGTGAATTAGAGAAATGTGATTTCTTTGGAAACTCATTACTCAGAGCCAGTGTACATTTCTACATCATAGGCCCCATTTTTTTCATTGTAGCAGAGTCTCTGCCATAAAGGGGTAAAGATATTACTCAAAAATTTTAAGATTTGAAAAAAATTTTGCCCCTTTTACATTGAACAAATGGGGCCATAATGTATTTTGATGTTTGTGGATAAAATATAATTGGATCTAATTAATATACTATATTGATTTTCATCCTTTTTTCTTTCTTTTTGTGTAGACACGATTTGACTTCCCTTCATATTAATGGTGCACTTTTTCCTGTGTATTTTAGGGTTTGCGAGAGGGGAATCAAGGGGTCCCAGTGCATCCAGGAGTGGAGCTCCTCAGAAAGTCTTACCCATTGAAACACCGGCCTTATCTCTGGATGAGCTGAATAGATTGACTGGTAACTTTGGGTCAAAGGCTTTGATTGGAGAAGGGTCTTATGGTAGGGTATTCCATGCAACCTTAAGCAATGGCCAAGCTGCTGCCATAAAGAAGTTAGATGCTAGTTCTTCACAAGAGCCAGATTCTGATTTTGCAGCTCAGGTGACCTTTGGAAAAAGAAATTAAGTTTACATATTTGATAGGTGGCAGATTGTTTAAGGTTTTCCCATGATGTATATATTGTTTTCATACTGGTTGATGCAGTTATCCGTTGTTTCAAGACTCAAGAATGAACATTTTGTGGAATTATTGGGATACTGTTTGGAGGCAAACAATCGAATCTTGGCATATCAGTTTGCGACTTTGGGTTCTTTACATGATGTTTTACATGGTATTTTTTATGAGATTCACTTTTTTTTTTATATGCTTTACTGGACTATCCATATTTAATCTATTGCACCAACTATTTTATTTTTCATGATTTGGGAACTGAACTATAGTCAGTTATCTTTGGTTACAGGGAGGAAAGGTGTACAAGGGGCTGAACCTGGTCCAGTTCTCAACTGGAATCAGAGGGTAAAAATTGCTTATGGTGCAGCAAGAGGTCTTGAATATCTTCATGAAAAGGTTCAGCCTTCAATAGTTCACCGGGATGTCAGATCCAGCAATGTTCTTCTTTTTGATGATTTCTTGGCGAAAATTGCGGATTTTAACTTGTCTAGTCAGTCTACGGACACAGCAGCTCGTCTCCATTCAACTCGAGTCTTAGGAACATTTGGATACCATGCTCCAGAGTAATTTACCTATTGTTACCTTGCATTGGATAGCCTCTTATTTTCTCTCATGACATAACTTATAAATCGTTGAATTGATTTCCCGATTTGGTTTGATGGCATTATGGTTTGTAGTTATCTGTGTCAATTATCTTTTTCAGGTATGCCATGACTGGGCAACTGACTCAGAAAAGTGATGTGTACAGTTTTGGTGTTGTTCTTCTAGAGCTTTTGACAGGGAGAAAGCCAGTAGATCATACTATGCCAAAAGGACAACAAAGTCTTGTTACTTGGGTATGCTCTCTAAACTACCACTTCAGCTTTAGTTACTGTTGTTTTCATTCATCTTTGCATCTCTAACTCCAGTCTAAAATACCATAGGCAACTCCAAGGTTGAGCGAAGACAAAGTAAAGCAGTGTGTGGATCCCAAACTGAATAACGATTACCCACCAAAGGCTATTGCTAAGGTTCTCTTTCCCTTCAATTTTCCTAAAATGCATCCACTGAATGAAAACTTCTGCTTTTCTTTATCTATTTTATTAAAGTTTCAATTCGTATTTTTGCATTTTGTTTAATGAATATCTCAGAAGGAAAATATTGTTCCAGTGCTATTTACTTAGAAATTAAACTTCTGCATGTATGTTCGAGATTTTCAGATGGCAGCAGTTGCAGCACTCTGTGTTCAGTATGAAGCAGACTTCCGACCAAATATGACCATTGTTGTCAAGGCACTCCAACCACTTCTAAACTCAAAACCAGCGGGACCAGACTCTAACATGTAACTTTTTGATTTATCTTTGTTTTACTCATTTTTTTTGGTATTTTTGTACTTCAAATCAGTACAGGAATCTTGTATTTAGACAAAAGTTTGGGATAGAAATTGATTAAGTTAATTGTCCCTCATGCTTCTGTAAATAGTATTTTTGGATGATTTTAATTGTTCCCCGTGTTGACCAATATCATGTGCTGCATCTTCAATGGCAGATAGTGAATATGCCAATTTTCACAACCCGTTCAATCAGCAGATGACCTCACAAAATGTTCCATATTTACCTAAATGGCACCCATCATCAGATCTGATCAAGCTATCCTAACTAATAGATTCACTTCACAAGTCTGAAGAACGTTGTGGTGTCTTTGCTTTCTTGTAATGAAAACCTCATATATCTCATTGCTCTGGCATCTCTCAACCTCTTAGGAGGTGTTTAATAGTTTGTATCATGGTAATTGGGAAAGCTGATTGTGCACATTTGTTTATTTTTGCTTAATATGCAAGCACCATGGGAGAAGTTTGCCCGTTTGTGAAATAAAAAGAAGGGTAAATTACAAAGATCCCCCAGTACTATGGGGTCAGTGACAAGCACCCCATTATACATTTTTTTTGTGACAAAGACCCCCTCTATTAGCCTTCCTCAGTAAACTTCAAAAAAGATTCTCATCTGACAGTTTGAAGTTTTTTAAATGCCTAAACTTCCATTTTCTAATTTATTATACTTTTTTTATTTAAGTTATGAAATCATCTTATTTTTTCAACATACTGTTCTCTGTTCATACTACTTGTGCCACCGGTTACCATTCTTATGCATGTGCACGTAGGTGATCTGAAGCAGGATTTAAAGAATATAGAGGAGAGGAGAGGAGAGGAGAGATGTAGAGACGTTCTGTTTCCGATCCTTTAAACTTCCGTTGGAGGAAAACATCAAGCCTGTGCTCCACATTTCGTTTCTCTCCAAACTCACTCACCGGTCAGAGAATCTGTCAGCGTTTGCCGTCCGCCGTTGACTTACAGAGAACCGCACCATATTACCCGTCAGAAATGCACGGAAAGCACACCATTCACTGGCAAAGAGTGCAATTCTGAGCTGACACTTACGTTGCATGTACTTTGAACCTAATAATTTTGACCCTGTGCTGAACCGTCATTCTCCCGTAATTAATTCACCATGTTCTTGATTAATCATTCGGTGAGGTTTGCTCTCTCTGTTTTAACAACAGTAACTATAAATTTATAATGCGCCCTCCGTAACTCAACAGTGGCAAGTATTACTGCTGCGCACCTGAGAATTCCCTGCGTTGGGTGAGATTATAGGGTATCAATTGGACTGGATTTGGTCCAATTCAGTCCAGTCCAATGTGAGTATATTACAAATGGACCTGGTCCCATCCAGTTCAATGAATATTTTGGACTAGTCCAAAGACTGTCCAATCTATTCAAATTCCTGTTAATTTAGATTTGTTTCAACTCAAACCAGGTCTATTGATACTTACGTTTTTATCTTTTATCAATGGACTAGATATTGGCTCAATCTAATATAAATTCATTATGGACGGACCAGGACCAATCCAATATGTTATATTGATCCGTCCAGTCCATCCAAATTCAATATGTCTTATTGATCCATCCAATCTGTCCAAATAAATTTTGAATTGGATGGAATCCAACCCAAAACCGGTCTATTGACACCCCTACGTGAGAATGGCCGAAGGGGAGGCAGAGAGGAAAGAGGTAAAGGGTTTGGGAGAGAATACGAAATAATAAAGGGTTCTTGGAGAGAGGAGGGCGTTACTGTTTTGGGAATTGGGAACGTGCTGCAAGCTTTAATTTTGGACCTTTTAATTAAAAAAAGGAGTAAATTAAAATAAATGAGGAAGACCACTACATTAGCCTTCAACGCCTTCTTGATCTGACTTCTTCATAATATTTTCTCCGATTCCTTTTCCAACCACAATCAAAGGTATTGTTTGGTCAGCTAGTGGGGTATTTTAGTAATTTAATGTCTTCTTTCATCTGACCTAACTGTTGATGAAAGTATTTGTCACAATGTAAAAGTTTAAGGGGTCTTTATCGTAAATTAAAGTACAAATAATCTTTATCACTAACAAGAGGTCTTTGTAATATATCCTAAAATGAATTTATTCAAAAGAATTTGGATAAATTGTTAAAACCTCCCCTCCCCTGAAGTTTTTGACAGTTATTGGATCTATTTGTTAATTACAATAATCTCTTCTGATCTTCTTAACACAGTTGCAAGTAGACCCCATCTCATAAAAATATCCAAAATATCCATATAGTAGCTTTTGACCAAAATGTTTATTTCCCAAAATTTCTCTTCATATCAATGGTTTACTCTTTCAATCTCTTTTTCAAAATTGATTTATTTTCTAAAATTGGTCTTTATATCAATTGCTTAAAGGGAAAATTACAACTTTAAACTCTCTTTTTTTATTGTTAATAAAGTTTATATTATTTTTTCTATAAAAATGAGCCTCAATTGTAATTGTATGGATATTTTAGATATTTTATGTCTCTTCTTAGGGAATTCTACGAGGTGGGATGGTTACAATGACCAAACTTGAGTGAAGGTTTCAGCAATGGTAAAAATCTTTAGGGGAGTTTTCACTTTTCAGTAATTTACCCAAGGATTTTTATGAACATGATGGCCAAAGGACAAAGGTACTAAGTATTTTTGTAAATTAATGAATGTGTAAGGGGCATAGTGTAATTTCAATTTTTAATCACACCACGAATTAGGGTTTTCATCCACCATCACGCGAAACTCGAACTCCGGCATCTCTATATAAATCCTATCATCAGCCTCTCTTCCTGTGTTTCGTTTCGTCTTCTCTTCGTTTCACTCTCCTATTGGCGTGGTTACGATTAGGGTTAGGGTTAGGGTTAGGGTTAGGGTTAGATTAGAATGTGCGTTTGGTGTGGATGTTAGATCGGCAGAAGTGAAAGAATTTCATGGCTGGTGATGCATTGAATTGTGCGTACCATCTGAAATTGATTCTTTGACGAAATCCCTTTTACATCTCTCTCTCTGAGGCTTTTTTCTTCTTTGCTGGCTCCCTCATCTCTTCTGTTTGTTTTAGATTTGTTTCTCTTTTTATTCCGTTTATCCTTTTTGTTGAAAAGATAAAAACTAACCAGAGGCCGTGATGTCAAATCATTACTCTCTGAACCTAGCCCTTTTTGTTTTTCCCCGTTTTTCTTATTGTACCTTTTTTTTCTACGATAAATTTGTGGTTTTGTAAGGCAACAAATTAGAGTCTCTGATGCGCTCTCTCCATAGCGTTATCAGCGCTGTACGTTGCCGATACCGATATCGGGCGGAGATTCTGGCATTTACCGCTTTGTTATTTTCCCGCGGTTTATGCATTCAGATGCTCGGACACCCTCAAACGACAACTTGCGATATTTGGTCTTGGCTCTGCTTGACGTTTCTTGTTTTTGGGGATGGCAATGCTTTTGCTAGAAAGGCTTTTTGAGGAGTTTGGGAGTAGAATGGATGAAGAGTTTTGTAGCAGGAGGAGATGAGATTTTTTTACAAAGGGGTGGATGTCTGTTGTATTCGGGTTTGGGGGAAAAGGGGTGGTGTCGTGGTTTCAAGAAGAGTCTGGTTTTTGATTTGTTTTTAAGTTTTTGTTTATAATTTTATATGCATTATTGGTTTTAGGTGTCAAAAATAAATTAAAACAAATTTAAGCAGATTGAACAGTCTAGATATTGAATTGGAATTGCATCAAAATGGTCCAAAATATTTTAATTGGATTGAAATGGACTTGATCCATTTGTAATGGATTCACATTCGAACTGAATCAGATAAGACCAAATCCAGTCCATTCGATGCCCATATGAAAGGATTAGATATGAGTTCTATTGATAGTTGGTTGACACCGAGTATGAAGGATTGACTCATTGCCAGTAGTGGATTATTGATAGGTGTAAAGCAAGAATTATATTTGTTTTTTTGGTGGATTTAATGGCACACCATTTGGTGACTTTTGTTGTAAAGCGATGGTTATGACTGATGTTGTGGATACCCGTAACGTTGATTGAAAATGCAAGAGCAGAAGTTGCTAATCAATAAAGCAGAATTGAACAGGAAAGCATGGAAAGTTTACCTTGTTGTTATCACAGTACATTTGAAAAGGGGGCAATTCAGAAGGAAAATCAACCATTTATAAAATCTCTTGTTCATTTAATATACTTCACTGGTGTAGAATTTGGACTTTCTCATCAGTGACCATCCATCCCATCCATTGGCTAAACTGCATTTGTTTATTTTCGGGTATATGGAGAACGGAAGAACGAAGCTTCACTACATATGCAATTATCCTTCCTTTCCTGGCTAGACATTGCATTTTAATGTAACTTGTTGTTGGAAAAGAATATATAACCAAACGTTACTATAGTGAAAACTGATGTATAATCGTCTTTGACTGGATAACAATGTCAATGTACTAATGTAAATGTACACTGTACAGCCCCACACATGGAGAACTTTTGAACGTGGGACGAGGAGCCACATCCCACATGACATGGGTCTGGTGTTCTTTCAACAGATGGGGTGACCTTTTGAGTTGAGGGTGTCCATGTTTAACGCCAGCCAACGGTACGTCCAATTAGTATCACCATCTGGGGCTCACTAATTGGGATTCGAATGGAATCCACTTTCGCTCTTATTAGTAAATAATACCGTTTTGTCTTGGTAGCCAATCCTTTGTCCCATGTCAGCCCATTAACCATGTAGGATTAATGATAGGACTGTTACTAATTTACTGTTAATTTTTACTATCTCGTTTATTTATGGGAAATTCCTGATAGGTACATATACTTTTAGGCTTAGTGTCAATTTAGTACAGAAACTTTAAAACGTGATATGAATTTTCATTTGTTAAAGACACAAATACCCTTGTTCTTTATGTGTCATCTATCAGGAGTTGCTAAACCCGTTCCCTTAGCCATATCCACCAGCCATCCATTTCAACATTGACAACCTTCCGGTGAAGCCCTCGTTCCGGGTTCTGGTTAACGACTCGGTGCTTACCAAACGCGAATGGACGTCCTAACTCGTCATTTGAAGCCAACGGCAACAGAACCCTTCACCACCCCCTACCCCTACCCCGGCCCCCCAAAACCCAAACAGGACAAGTGATGATCAACTGATACCTTCCGGTGCAGAGCAGATACTAGTGCAGCAGATGTCTGTGGAAGCCATATTTAGTTGTTTCCCTGCAGCGTGGTTCTCTCCATAGGATGTTTTTAGATGCAAGCAGCTGTTACAGGATGAGACCTCATTGTTATCGCCAACTTGAAGCCAGCTACACCCAGGTTCCTTCTTCATCCCTCTGCCTTTCAACCTTTTCCTCAGTTTTTGCACATATTCCCACCTCCCTGCGGCTGCTAACACATTTGATAAAAGTACCAAAGCAAGTGGTTTGGTGGAAAAACCTGTTTTCATAATTTTATCTTGCAGCCTCTATTCTTCTCTCCAACTCTCCCAAATTCTTACAAGCAACTAGAAAGGTCAACCATAATGAGTCTCTATGCTCTGCTGGAGATCCTTGAATGAATTCCTTGGCCTCTTTGAACCTCCTTCCACCAGCCAAGAGGTGCACCATGCAGATCAAATGATCTTTTTCAGGCTCTATCTCCATTGCATAAAATACGCTTTGCCCAATATCAACAAGCCCTCCCCCGGCCCCCCAAAACCCAAACAGGACAAGCTCAGAAGAGAAATACAGAGCCAGCCAACCAGGAGGGGCAGAGGGCAAACCATTAACAATGGCGCCTTTCATCGCCGTCTGCCCCTTCTGCCTCAGAGACCGCCTCACCACTCTCTGCCCCGAATGCGCTAATGTCTGACCCTGCTCTTGCTACCCCACTTCTTCCTCTTCGTCTCCGTCTTCCTCTTCCTTCTTCTCTCGTTCTTCCAAGTCTAACACCGGGATCGGGGCCACCGGCTGCATGTCGAATCTCGTTGACAGTGAATGCCCTTTCCGACGCTTGAGATCCACTTCTTTGCCTTTTTTCCGGCGACATATGGACAAAAAATTTTCTTCCCCAGTCATCTCCCCTGATATAACCCACCCAGAAAAAAAAAAAATGGAGACGTCTGGGGAAGAGCTCAATCAGCTCATCTTACACTCA